TGTTATCTCCACTCCACGTTGGCTGGAGACTGTGTCTCCCAGGCCAATTTCTTATTCCCTCAGGACAGCTGATAGAGATGAGCAAGAATGATTTCTTAAATTTCCAAGACCTCTGTGATCTGAGGGTGCTCCAGACCTCACTGTAGACACATGCTTAGCTTGCTTTCCTGACTTGACCTTTGTGGGCTTCCAGGCACACTTTGGTTGGAGGCCCGAGTGAAGCCACAGAGAGCCTCTTCAGTTTGTTTAGTCATCCTTATTACTGGATAAGAGCAGAGGAGAATAGTGTACACAAAACAGCAGAATTTAACCTTTAGAGCTATCTGTTTGCTGTCTAGTCCTTTCAGTGAAACCCAGTGTTGGTCAGAGCTTATTGCCAGTGGTGTTGCTGGCATGAATTGCAGGTGAAGTAAATTGTGTAACATATCGGTCACTCCTTTGTAAGTGCCCTAAGAGGCTGAGGTTAAGATTCGATTCTCCAGTTCTTGCTGTAATCCCTGTCATATGCTGACACTAGAAACGAAACTTCTTGATCCTTCTCCAAGAGCCCTTTACCGGGCTGACGTCTGTGTCAGTAGGTGTAGGCCCAGTGATACATCGCTTGCAGCTCCCAAGAGCTCACAGCAAATGTTGTTCCTCACTCGTGCTGTGTGGCCACTGTGTTGCCTCTACTCTGGTGCCACTGAGGCCCAGGCTGCCCCCTCAGCTTGGGCTGTTACAGTGACACCGCCCATCACAGGCATAGTTCACTGCTCAGCACGTCACAGGCTCACACCCAAGGGGCTAGGAAAGCACATGCTACTGCATGTGCAGGAGGGAGGAGGCCTGGAATCCTCCTAAGAATTTCTAATGATGCCCACAGTTTTTCATTGATTCTTTTAGAGAGAAAGCTGACATTTGATTCAGTAACACTTTGTAGGAGGGAACCTAGAGCCTTTGCTTTTGGAAAAATAGAGGAATATTCTGTTCCTGTTTTTAGTTTTTTTGTTTTTGCTGGTTTTTTTTTTTTTTTTGTGTGTGTGTGTGTGTTGTTTTTAGTATTTTGAGACAGGGTCTTGCCGTATAGCCCAGGCTGGCCTCGAACTCGAAGAGATCCTCCTATGTCAGCCTCCCAGTGCACAGGTGTGCGGCACCTTGCCTGGCTGAGGAATGGTTTTGTAGGAAAGAAACGTGGCTGTGTCTCAGGCAAACATGTCTTACACAGCAGCTTTTCAGTTTCTCTTACATACTCCTATGGGAATTTAAAGTGACTGAAGAGTCTTCATTTCCCTAGCAGAATAAATTGTAGGCAGGCTCTTGCCTCCTGCCAAGGGCTTTAGTCAAGCCATTGCTTTACCTCGGCTCACTGCCCTGGTGATGTGCGGGTGCTGGCTGAGAGCACTTTCTCCTCCCTCTGGTTACTAGCTGGACAGTGGACCTTCACAAGCCATTCACTGTGATGGCACTGCTAAGTGTGGAGCTATAGCTATAAAGACAGGAAAGATAAAGATAAAATTTGTCTTTTATACAAAAAGTACAGGAACTGACTTTAAACAGGTCATGAAGTTGGAGATTTAGCTCAGTGCTGCAGTGCCTGCCTAGTAAGTGTGAAGTCCTGAGTTCAATTCCTGGTACAAAATAAACAAAATAAACAAAACCCCCCCAGAAAACAGGTTATACCGTGTGTATGTTCCCCATGTCTCGGTCTTTGTCCTTTAAGCTGGGACTCCGACTACATAGACCACTCTCCATCTTGGCTTTATTGCCAAGCACAGCAAGCAATTAAATCCTACTCTGCTGCTGCAAGGCAAAGTCTGAGCTGGCGCCCAGATAAACAGGTAGGTTGGCTATAGATTGTTCTCTCCGAGCCTGGGAACCCCGGGCTGCAATTAGTCCTGACTTGGTGGGTAGGACAAGGAGTGTGCACAGCAAAGGTCATGGTCGCAGTGCGGAGTCTGAAGCAGATGACTCTTCCTGCCTGGGGAAAGCAGAACACTACATTTACATCTTGGTCGCCGTCAAATGCTTGTGACTATCTCTCCTTATGACTTTAAGACTTAGGGTCCCCTCTAATTGACATGTTTTGAAATTTTGTTTCTTTGTCTTTTTTTTTTTCTATTTGAAATAAAATGGATTTGGAAAAAGTTAAATTAAAAAAAAAAAAAAAAAGACTTAGGGTTCCCTTCTACAGACAGGCAGCTGTGGAGCCTGCAGGGCTGACAGGTGCCCTGCTGTCCCCGCCTCAGCTGCTCATGGCACTGACAGGCGGTGGTCCTCGTAGAACCTACAGCCACACATTACCTGCACTTTGAAAACTGCATGATTGTGCTCCTTTTCAGGTCCAGAACCCTCGTCCTTGAGTTTATACTTTTGGTGTGGTATTCAATGTTAGTTATAGAAGGCTCAGGGAAGGAGAAGAATGTTTCTGCTTATGGGTGGGGGTGGGGGGGCTGGGGGGGGTGGCGGTGTGCCCCTCACCTGTGGGACAGGCAGGGAATGCACACCTTCCCCACAGCTCTGTCCCAGGTCCCCTTCTCGGTACCTCCACCCATAGAACTTGTCTGCTTTGATACAGATGGATCACAAAGCCACACCTCACCAGGTCCCAGGCTGAGACAGGTGCTGCTAGGAGTGTTCACCCTTCTCCCTGTGGGAGACCTGCACCAGCTCAGACCAGACCCACCTGTCTTTCCACTCTGCCTCCCTTCCCACCTGCCACTTCCCCACTTTCCCCCCCTGTCTTCTTACTCCTGATTCCCAGTGGGAACCACCTTCAAGGGGTGACATCTGCCTACTGCGCCTTCTGCTTCCATGCAGTCACTAGATGGCGCACTTGATTCTGATCGTTTCTGGAGTCCACCTCTGCCTCTCCTTTTCTTCCTGTTAACGTTGCAGGTGCCGAGCACCTCAGCTCTTGCTCACCATAGCAGCTCTTTCCAGACTCTGCGCCCCCCTCCCGCTTCCTTCACCTTTCCACAGAACGCAGGGTTCCATCGTCTCCGCATCCACATGCTTCCCCCTGCCCTGCCTGGATCCTCAGCCGTAGCCCTCAGGCTGCGCGCTGGAACAGGGTCCTGACCGTCTCCTGCCCTCTGCACAGGCAACTCCCCATGTCACCTCCTCCCATGCTGCCCCGCGGTACTCCTTCTGCCCCTTTAAGATTTCCAATAAGACCCGGCACGAACTGACTTCAGCTCCAGCTCGAATTGTCAACGCTGCTGTGTTGTACTTCTCCAGACTACTTCTTTTCGTGCTCCAAGTCAGATATGTTCGCTCCTAATTGTTCGCAGCAGATGGTAGACTGTTGGGAGTGGTAACCCTTTGTCAGTCCGCCAAACAGTGCTCTTTCCATAGATAACTGCTTGCCACGGATTAGAGGCGCTTCCTTATTCTATGGCTTTCTTTTCTTTCTTTCTTTTTTTTTTTTTTTTTTTTTTTTTTTTTGGGTACCGGGAATCGAACTGAGGACCTAGCGCTTGCCAGGCAGGTGCTTATGCCACTGAGCAAAATCCCCAGCCCTATGGCTTTATTTTCAAAGCACTTTTCTGGTATAATCTTTGTGTGGCATAACTAGAGGCCCATCCTTAAAAAGCAGATTCTAGTCAGACGTTGACTCCGTGGTCATGACCTGTGAGCACTCAGCTGGTTTCGGGGCGGGCCTTTCCTTTGCCTTTGCTCCCTTGGGCAGTGCCCTCTAAGGGCACTTAGCAGGAGCCCCGAGTTGCTGAGGTGAAGTGGCTCTGTGGCTTCCAGCTGTACTGGGCTCCGCCTGTGTGACGCAGGCAGCCTTCTTAACCAGCCCCATTGTGAAGCAGGGATGTACTGTTTTCTTGATGCTTACACTCACTTTTGAGGAACATTTATGATTTAAGCATCTCAAGCCTAGATTTTCTTATACTCAATGGTATGTCATAGTTTAATTAATTGGTAACTTTTCCTGTTATAGTAGTATAAAATAGTGTTTTCCAATCTGTGACATCTTGGATCTGATGAAATACATGCACCATTTTCAGTTATTTTGAGGGTTGGGATTTGTACGTGCTTAGCTCAGTAAATAGTAGAATTGTCCTTATTTTTACTTCTTGCCTAACAGTCTGTCCACCTCCAGAATTACCCCTTCAAGCGTCCCTTTCCACAGCTGCGCAGTGATACACTGAGAAGCGTGTTCTCGGCCGTCTGCCTCCTTGTGTGACTGATTCAGACACTGTGTCCCATGCTGCAGGGATCTTCGGGGGAAGGCAGCCTCCATCCTTCTTCCTCTCCCTCATCCACCCCCTTCCTTGAAACTCTTCTGAATGTTAAGGGGCTCTAAATGATTGAGGGGATTGTTTTATGCAAGTGAATTGTCATGAGTATAGGAAAAAAGGTGGGGACCACTGCCAGAAAGGCAGTGAAAGCCCCTCGACTTCACATGCTAAGATCCCCAGAGCCCTCCCAGTGTGCCTCTTGAGCTCACCTCTTGCTGCCTCCTGCTGTGCTCCAGGTACATGGAACTTCTTGGATGAGTTGTCTTTGTAAGTTTATGACCAAGTATCAGTGTGGTGACAGGGTGCAGCAGCAGGCCATGGGCCATGTCATGGATAATAATTCTAAAGGAACAAGAACTGTGCTGATAGAGAACATTTAGGGCACAGGTTTATAGCAAGTGTCTTGGCTTACCTGTGTAACCCCAGCACTTCGAGAGACTGAGGCAGGAGGGTTGCAAGTTCAAGCCCATCTTGGCCAATTTAGCAATTTAGCAAGGCCCTGTCTCAAATAATGAAGAGTTGGGGATATAGCTCAGTGAGAAGTCTTGGCTTCAGTCCTCAGTAACACATACACACACATAAAGAGATTGATTAATTAATTAATTTGTGGGTCCAGGAATAACATTTGGAATTTCTTTTGATGGTCAGATTACTAAATTGTGCTTCACTTATATGCCTGTCTGCCATTGGCTCAGATAGGGGAACTGATAGACTCCTAGGGTAATGAGCAGGGCCTTTCCCTTGTTCTTCAGAGGAGATGAAGGGCCATTGGATGCAATAGTTTGATACACATTTGGGCTCCCTGCCAGTCACTGCTGCTCACCAGGGACCAGACAGCTGGGATCAGCAGTGAGCTCTCTTCAGTGATGCTGAAGGATCTCTGTCAACCAGCTGAAGGATCTGTACTCCCTCAAGAGACAAAGAAAGAGTCTGGATAAGATAGTTTGATTATAACTGCCAAATTAACTACAAGTCACATACTTATTAAATGTCAGGCATGTAGTAACTACAGTGTCTTTTGTTTCTTGCATCTTTTTTTATTCCTTACAATAGCCTGGTAGTTGAATGTGGTGATGGCATACCTGTAATTCCAGCAATATAGGAAGTTGAAGCAGGAGGATCATAAGTTCAAATCCAGCCTGAGCAAGGCCCTGTCTCAAAATAAAAAATAAAAACAAAAAGGCTAAGATGTAGCTCAGTGTGAAGGCGTGGGATTCAATCCCCGGCACTGGGGTGGGATGGATAAACCTGGCACTACTCAGTGTGGTTCTCCCCACTTTACAGGTTAACCAACTGAGATTTAGAGCTAGGAAGCCTCAGTTTCTCCAAGATCATACAGCTATTCAGTGACAGAGCCAGAATTCAGAGCTGACTCTCTGATTTTGGACCTGCAGTTTCCCCTACACTGCACAGCAGCATCGGTAGTATCCCTTCCTGCTTTAAGTAGGCTGAGCATGGAGGAAGATGTATATGGGTTCTGTTCTGTTCCCCGATAAACATTTTTTTTTTAATTTTATTTAAGGAGAAAAGAAAAAAAAGCAGAGAAAGGGTACAAGTTATACAGATTTGCAGAAAAAAAATGAACAGTAGGAAATCACTAGTTAATGGATTACATATTGTCATCTTAGAAATAATTGTTTAAGTCACAAAATTAAAGCTTGTAAAGTGAACATTCCATCAATGATACTGCAAACAGTTCTGTTCAATGATCCAATAAGACTCGGTGATATCATTTTCTATCTTATACACTTAAATATACATGCAGTTATATAGTATAGAGCACTTTCTTTTCCTCTCTTTTGTACAATGACTATTTTACACATTTTGGGTTTCATTGCTCCCATGGTTCTTATTACTTTTTTGGAAGAGAGTAAAACCAAATGTGATATAACAGAACAGAATCGGTCAAGTCAAAAGGGTGGACATAATAGATAATGTGAAAACATAATACAAGGTGATCAACAATGGTTACCATAATGCCTCCCGCTATCTCTAATAGAATTGCCTATATCATTAGTTACAATACAATTGAACAAAACAGTAAAGAATAAAACCGACAAAACCAAAACATTGGAGACATTGTAGGTCTTTAAAAATAGATAAAAGTCAACGAGAATGGGCGTTATAATGAATCTCATTATCTTCACAGCTGATGCCTAAATTTTCGAACCTGATACTATCCAGCAAAACAGAATAGGGGAACATCAGTTAAAAACCAGATGGTGAGAGTAATACAGGGCTTTAAACTGAGATAATAGAAAGTCAAAGTGGGTTACTATAATATATCCTGCTATTTTTTTCCTTTAATTAAAAGGATAAAAATAAAAAAGTAAATAATGGAGTGGAGATTGAGATAAAAGAGGGCATAACAACGAAACAGCACAGATCAAAACATAACCATTTAAGCAGAATAGTGTTTCACCACCAGATAATACTGACCTAAAAGTAGTTACCATATTGTCTCTTTCCGCCCCGATAAACATTTAATAAAAAGACAAGGTCTGGAGCACTTTCTGTAACCCGTAGTCCTGTTTGGCATTTGAGATGAGAGAAGACGAAGCAGTAGGCTATAAAGAAGCAACGTCTTGCTAGAATACATTAGGGCGTGGCTCAGTGGCAGAAGACTGCTCAGGATGCCTGAGGCCTGGGTTCATCCCCACACTGCCCCCAGCAAAAGGCACAGAGAACGCTAACTCCTAATAAGAATTTGGGGATTTTTGTTTTGTTTTGCTTTTAAAGAAAGGGAAGTAATAATGTGCAGTGAACTTACTTTGCTCTAGTCAAATGTTCATATTTAATGGGCATATAACTAAATGGTGCTTTTACTAAAAAATCCTTCATAGGCTGGGGATGGTTGCACACAGTCCTAGAATATGGGAGGCTGAGGATGGTTATGAGTTCAAGCCCAGCCTGGGCTGCACAGTGAATCCAAGGCCAGCCTGACTACATAGCAAGACTCTTGTCAAAAAAAAAAAAAAAAAAAAAAAAAAAAGAAAGAAAGAAAAGAAAAGAAAAACAATTCTGGCACATGAAGAATAATTCCTGAGTTGCTAGGTGACTGCCGTTCCCTCTGCTCGGTGCCTCCTCTGTCCACCAGTAGTTTCAGGGCCCTGCCCCTCCTGTGAGCTAATGCAGCATTTTGTACTTAGGTCATGGTACGTATCATAGCCTTCCTTTTATTATCATGAATTCTGCTCGTGTTTTATCTTTCTTCCTTGATTTCAGGCATTCCAAGGACAGGGTTCACATTTTATCTTCACTTCCTCCTCCCACCTCTTCATGTTCTGTGATTTTAAATATATTTGAAAATAGATGTTCTTGGAGATTACATATTCTTTAGGTAGAAGCCGGTGAGTGCCTGAACCTAATACCTTGGTGCAGTGGGTCAGCGAGGTCACATGTACACACTTAACTCACTCAGCTTTGACATCTGCACAAGCAAGAAAGAGAAGTTCCAAGTGTGGACGATTTCACTCTTCGCTCCCCCAGTGTGCACCTGGGGTGAGTGAGATGGGAGATCTGGATCTGCTCTTCTCTGTGGCTGCTGCCCTGTGCGTGCGTCTCATGAGCATCTTAGAATGCTGAGAAGAGTTCTGAAGCTTACAATCAACCTTCAGCCTATGCAGGTCCTAACAAGCCAACTGAAAGGAAAAAAGTAAATACTAACTGGGCTCTTAGCCCCCACACTTGCAAGGCTGAGACAGGAGAATGGCCACAAATCCAAGGTCAGCCTGGGAGCACACAAGACTCTCAAAAAATAACCAACCCAAAAAATTAAAGCAGGAGCCATTCCTGTTGCTAAAGGAAGAATTAGCTATGTTGGCCTGTATGTGCTATTTAAGAGACGTGGAGTTGTATAGTTTGCATCTTACTCTGTAAATCTAGGGCTCACACCTGTGTGAAGTGCGATTCACTAGATGGACTCATTGTCCCTTATCAGTGGGTGAATATGTGAGTGAGAGAGAGATTGAGGAACAAATTGAGGGCTAGAGATCTTGCCTTGTGGAATTTCATGACAAGAAGACAATGTGTAGAGAAAAGTTAAAATGTCCAATATGAAGCCAAGGAAGACCATAAAAGTGGTCCAGGAGATATTAAATTAGCAAGCAAAGGAGAAAGAACTCTAAGGAGGGTGCTTTCTTGGCCTGCCTGCCTGGTGTTTTAGCATAGCTCCTCAGGACCAGAACGCTGTGCTTGGGAGTCCCTGGACACATCGCAACATCACCAACTGATGCTAATAACACATGCCAAAAAAATCCAAAGCTAAACAGAATATGCTGTTTTAGATGACGTAGGAGTATGTAATATACTTTCAAAGGTTTCCATTAAAAAGTGGGGCATGGTGGCACATGCCTGTAAATTCCAGCACTTGGGAGGGTGAGGTGGAGGATTACTGTGAGTACAAGACTAACCTGGGCTACATAGTACCTTCAAGGCCATCCTGGGCCACACAGCGAGACCCTGTCTCAAAAAACTAAAAATAAATAAATAAATTTAAAAACTTGGAGGAGCTGTGTGTGGTGGCACACATTTATAATTCCAGTCTCTAGAGGCTGAGGCAGGAGTATCACTGTGAGTTAGAGGCCAGCTAGGGATAAATAGTGAGACCCTGTCTCTAAAAAAAAAGAAAGTGATTTACTGTTTAACTGTTCACACATTCTTTTTTCTCCTTGGCTCAAAGGCCACTTTCTCAGTGAGGCTGAGTGGGCCTGGTACTTCTCTGAGTCCTCTCTGGTCCATGCACAGCCACTCAGCCAACTGGTAGAGTCTGATGACCAGACCAGACATTCGTTTTTAGGTGGGAGATGCATGGGCAGCCATAGGAATGTGAGCAGCCTGTGTTTCCACATCCTAAACCTGCTGGAACCTGGGCCATTGGAGGGAGAACGGGGTGGGGGTGGAGGTGGGGGTGGGGGGGCGGGCAGGCACATGTACCTGGTCTTTAGCGGGTGTTTTTCTACCGCCTCGTGCTTTTTTTTTTGTATTTATTTTTTGTGGACACTGGGAATTGAATGCAAGGCCTTTGTACTGAGCTACATCCCCGGACCTTTGCATTTAATTTTTATGAATTAATTGTGTAATTAGAACGTGTATGTAGTGTGTAATGTTTACATTCCTTGTGTGGAGTCTGTGCAGGTGCTCAACCCATCTTAATTCCTTTTTTTGTCGTTCATCTTTTCCCTTTCTCCCATCCCTCCTGATCCCCTTCCCCTTTGAGAAAGATTTTTCTTTTTTCTTTTTTGAAAACAGGGTCTCACTAAGTCATGAAATTACCCAGGTTGGGTGGACTTGGTGTCCTCTCACCTCAGCCTCCCAGAGTCCTGGGGTTAGAGGTACGTGCCACCACTCCCGATTTCATTTTATTTTTCTAATATGAACAAATGAGAACTAGAGCCTGACTTGGGGCCAAGATGACTCTCAAGTGACTTTCTCTTCCCGTTATTGCAGTTATTGCGGAGTCCGCCCCTAATCTTTGGCAACTTAACAGCTACCACACCCTCCAGCACAGCTAAGAAAGTGCCCATCCCCCAGGGATCTCTTCTCTCAATCTCTGAAGACCTGTTACAGGAACTGATGAAACCAGCCAAACCAAGAAAGGATAGCAAAGTTCGGTCATTGGTGTTTGGGGTTTAATTTTTTTTTTTAAATTTTAAAGATAGTAAAATCCAACAAAACAAAACAGAATGAAGCCAATTGAAACATTGCCGCAAAATTGGTATAGAACTTCAAAACAGGATACTAGGAAAACAACCGTAGCTACCATAGTGTATCTTGTTATCTTCACAATAGTTGTCCATTCCATCAGATATAGCAAAATCAAACCAAAAACAAAACACAATAAAACCAATCAAAACAGAATATTGAATAAAGTAAAACAGTCAGAACAAAGCAAAACAGAACAATATTGGGTTTCAAAGACAAGATAGAAGGGAATCCCATATTTGCTGTATTGCATACTGTCATCTTTCCAAGAGATGCTCAGACCTCTGGCCCCAGGCCTGAAAAATCAACCAGACAACATAAGCACTTGGTTGCTTTATGTGCCTTAGTTGCTGTCAACTCAGCCGGACCTCCGAACCAGCTAGGGGTTGCTTACGGGGAAGGAGGGGTACAGATGTGGACTCAGTCCCGGGGGACAGTAGGCCCTCGGGAGGCGCTGACTTTTCTTTTCCTGGAAGCCTGCACAGCTTACCGGAAAGGCTGACCAGTTGTCGTCTTGTTGGATTCTCCCGATCACAGCTAGCATTGCTGATTCTCTGGAGGTGCTGACTTTTCTCTTCCTCCCAGTGTTTAGTTTTTTATTCAGTAGACTTGTTCACTTGTCAGTGATTTGGAATCCTTTTTTAAGATTTGAGTGTTATAGCCGGGTGTGGTGGCTCACACCTGTAATCCCAGCACTTGGGAGGATCGTTTGGAGTTTGAGACCAGCCTGGGATACAAAGTGAGCTCAAGGCCAGCCTGAACTGCATAGCGAGACCCCGTCTCAAAAAAAAGACCAAAAAAAAAAAAGACTTGAGTGATATGCAGTACACCTCCTAATTGTCTAATACAGTTACTGTGACTGTGCATTTTTCTTCCTGGCTAGAGTTTTGCTGTGCAATCATGTTAGGGCAGATGGGAGGGTGTGATAGACAGTGGAGTGCGAACCTCTGTGTTTTGTGGCCCAGCAGGTTTTGTCTTCAGTGCCAAAGTCCATGTGATGAAAGTTGGGGTGTGGTATGACTGACGTCCGCTGCCATCTCGGAGAATTGTGTTTCTCTCTGCCGAGGAAGTTGTGCTAGATGGGGTCCTGTCATCCTGACAGAGAACTACATTTTGTTGTAGAAACAGCATGAGTTGTAGTAAGATGTAGCTGCGGGGCTTTTCCCTGCTACCACACCTCAGTAACATGAAGGATTTAAATTGTCTTTTGTGAGCTGCTGACTTGAGAGCTTGACATTGTCTCTATGGGAAAGTGCAGTCATTATAAGTTTAATGCTTTAAGCTTCTAGAACATGAATAATTAAAGCTTTGGAGACTGTTTTTTACCAGGGAAGAAGACTAATTTCAGTGTTGCTTACGCTTGTATTATCTTCAGGCTCCAGAAAGTAGATTATTTATAGTGATAGTTTCTATTGATATGGGATTAGATTCAGAACTTCCTGTGACTTCACTGAGATATGTAGCCCAGGATGGAACCCTGGAAGCTCCTGCACCCTCTGACCTGGACACAGACTTGTCTCCGCCTCCAGCAGTCAGAGCCAGGTTCCCAAGATGTATCTGTGTCTCAAACTGATTTTCTTTTTCCTCTGAGACTGTCAGCCTGTTAGGAAGCTAGTAGCTCCTGTTAATCTCCTTTATCCGTCAAGGTTAATGCTGGGTCCTAGACAGTAGAGCATGTTTCCTAGTGCCAAACTGGGAGGCCCTGCTGGGGGAACCTGGACCTTCAAGCCCACCCTTCTGTCCATTTCACTAACACCTATCCCATTCACTTGTCAAGCACAGAGCACAGCACAGGGCACAGCCCTGGGCACTGGGGAAGAAGGTGACAGGTAACCAAGCTGCTCTCCAGGAAGCGTAGTCAGTGAGAAGAGGCAACAGTGAAAACGGTGTGACCACACATTGAACTGTGCCTCTCTCTGTAGTGTCCCCAAGCAGAGGGTGCTAACACAGCCTAGAGAGGACTTGTTAGCCATTTTTGAATTTGGTTGTTTCACTTGTTGGGTTTTAGTGCCTCAAACTGGAAGACTGTGTCTGATTTTTACAGAACTAAGCAGGATGGCATGAGGCACAGAAGGTAGTTCAGATCCTGGGCGTAGTGGCTCATGCCTATAATCCCAGTACTTGGTAGGCTGAGGCAGGAGGATTGCTGCCAGTTCAAGGCCATCCTGGGCTATAAAGTGAGTTCAATGCCAGCCTGAACTGCTTAGCGAGACCCAAACCTAAAACAAACAAACAAACAAGATCACTGAGCTACACCCCAGACAGCCTGTTTATCCCCCTTTCTCTGATGCTGTCTAATCTCATTTTCCAGTTTCAGTGTGTTTTACAGTGGCTGCTGATCAGACTTTTGTTGGCTATAGAATTTATGGTTTAAGCTCTTCAGGAGAGTCCAACTCTCCAGGAGTCCTATAGTTGGCCCTAAGCCCTGTTAAATCAGCATACACCAGATGCAAGGTGTATGCAATCAGCATACACCTGATCAAAATATATGGTGAATTTTGTTGTTGTTGTTTTCGTGACACTGAGGCTTAAACCTAGGGCTTCCACGCTGAGCTATGTCCCAACACCCCCTTTTTTTTTTTTTGAGGCAGGGTCTTACTAAGTTGTTCATGCTAGCTTGAACCTGCACTCTTCTTGCCTCAGCCTCCCAGAGTGCTGGGATAACGGTTGTATACCACTGTGCCTGGCAGTGAATGTTTAAATTTTAAAATTTATTGCTATTAATTTCCCTTAAAATATTCTCCCTCACTTCAAACACACTTACCCGAAGCAATTCTGAAAGTCCTCCTTCATGAGTATCTTTATAAGCCATGATCAAAAGTATGGCAAATGCTGCTGCTAAATAGCATCCAGGGGTAAGGCGGGCTCCTAAATGTAGGTAGTGATGCTCATCTACGTTACCCACTAGGTCTGGCACTTGAAGACCTCTGGCCCTTCCCTAAAGTCAATAAGACCATGAAAAGTCATTGTTTTGAATCAATTCAAGAAATTGAAGCAGCCACAATAGAACAGCTAAAGATATACATGAAAGAAGGCTCCTAGAACTGCTTTAGAAAGTAACAAGAACAATGGGATAAGTGTGTTCCAAGCCAAGGAAGATTCATAGTAATTTGTCTTTTACTGCAATACTTCTTGTGTTTTGAGATGGGGTCTCACCATGTAGTGTAGGCTGGCCTTGAACTCACTTACATAGCCCAGGTTAGCCTCAAACTCATGGCAGTCCTCTGCCTCAGCTTCCCGAGTGCTGAGATTACAGATGTGTGCCACCACACCTAACTGCAGTTTTTTGGGGGGAGGTACTGGAAATTGAACTCAGGACCTTGCACTTGTCAGGCAGGTGCTGCACCACTGAACTATAGCCCCAGCCACACAATACCCTTTTATTTTATTTTTTTTTATGTCAGATGGGTAATGTGCCGATGTCATAATAAGGTTCAAAGGAGGCACATGTCATGCATGGAGCCTGAACACCCAATCATCACACTTATGAACCTGAGGATCAACACACAATACCTTTTAAAACATTTAAAATTCATTGTATTTGTCGATCACACCTTGTGTGTTCTTCCTATTTCATCTATTAGTAAACTGAGTCACAGAAGACATGAATACCAACCTATGTGTTCCTCTCTTGATTGGGACATTCACATTGCCCCTAGCGAATGAGAAAGGGAAGGTCTCCCAACAGTTACTCTCTCCTGACAGAAAGAAAGCAGAGCCAAAGTAGTGCATTTAGTTACAGTCAAAGACCTTCAGGGGAGGGGGGGACATGTGACACCTTCCTGGAAAAAAAACAAACAAACTGAAAGGTCACAGATGTCCAGGTATGTAGGGAGAAGAGGAGAGTTTTGGCAGCAGGTTAGATTGTCTTTAGAGGAATCAGCATTCTGACTGCAATCTTTCCTGTCCTTGTCTGCTTTGAAAGATTTTAAGAGAAAATTTTAAATAAGACAAAACTAATAGCACCAACTTTAGCTCCTTAAAATGTCATAAATTTATGTGATTTGAGGAAATATCAGTTTTGACCTGACATTTTACCTCTTACAATTTCACGTGCAGGGCTGGGGGTGTAAGTCCCCCCCAGCTGGTCGCTCTTGCCTAGTATCCAGAGGCCTTGCTTCAGTTCCCCAGGGCCACCAAAAACAAACAAACAAAAAAACACCTCAGATGCACCACTCTAAGTATTTCTTCTCCTTGCCTTTTCCTTGTATCAAGGACAAGGAGAGCTGTCCTACTGATCTCTTTTGGATTATCTTAATCTTTATGTTCAGTAAAGCTTCCTGGTTGTGATTATTTCTGGGTCACATCACCATTGGATTTGCCAAGAACTAAAAAATCAATAGTACCTCTGTTAACAAACGTACCTGAATAAATTCTGCTAGAGGCCAGTGTGGAGATTCCTCAAAAAACTACAACTAAAGTTTCCATTTGACCAAGCTAGTCCTCTTCTTGTTATCTTCACACAAGAATTAAAAGCATCGGGGCTGGGGATTTAGCTCAGCGGCATAAGTGCCTGCCTTGCAAGCAGGCAGTCGTGAGTTCGATCCCTGGTACCGATAAAAATGAAAAAAAGACAAAAAAAAAAAAAAATTTTAAAAGCATCATACCACAGCAATGTATGCACATCCATGTTTATAGCAGCACAATTTAAAATAGCAAAATCTTGGAAACAGTGCATATGCCCATTAACCAGTAAGTGAATAAAGAAGATCTGCGGTTTTTATGTGTGGTGTTAGGGTTTGTGTCTGAAATGCCCCCCAAGCCTCATACAGTCATGTGGGGGTGCATCTAGAATTTGTGACTGATCCATGGTCCAACGCTGGGATTGTAGGTGTGGCCTGTGTACAATCTAAAGGGCAGAGAGTCTTCTCTCTGTGCCCCTCCCTTTTTGCTCTTGTTGCTTTTGCTGTTTTCTGCCACCCTCTGCCATGTGCCACTCTGCCTTGAGCCAGCCAAGTGTGGACTGAAAACTCAGTAAGCTGTGAGCTAAATCAACCTGTCCTTCCTCAACTTCAGGGGATGGTATTTTGTCTCAGCGAGAGAGAAGTAACAAGAAGACAAGCGGAACACTACTCAGTCATAAAGGATAAACTTGAGACATTTCTAGGTAAAATACATGCACCTTGAGACCATACTCTTAACTGAAGTAAATTGGACACCCATGTATGAATATTGCATTGTTTTTTTGATGTCAGAAACTAAAAGTATAAATAAGGACCAAAATACATAGTACATATAGGGAAGTGGGAAGAAAGTATTCAAAGGAGAAGGGAAACAGGGGAAAGGGTGAAAGGAAGGAAGGGACAAGAAAAAAGAAAATAGAAGGGAAAAATGGAAACAAAACTTATTAATGAAGAGAAGAGGGGTTGAAGGAGGGGAATAGAAATAAAAAAAGACTCAATAATCCTGTAAGCTGGGTATAGTAGCATATGCCTGTAACCCCAGCACTGAGGAGGCTGAGGCAGGAGTATCACTGCAAGTTCCAGACCAGCCTGGACTACAAAGTGAGCTCGGGACCAGCCTGAACAGCATAGCGAGACCCTGTCTCAAAAAGACCAAAAAAAGAGGAGAGAGATCATATACAGGTACAAATTCCCTGAGATGAATGTTAGCATTGTGTATATCTAAGATGTACCAACTTTACCCCCCCCAAATTCTGCTAGTATCATTTTAGATGGTTCCTGAGTTAGTGGAAAACTGAATTAGTACTTGATAATTCATATTTGCTCAGTATGTGTTCTGAGAGGCTGGGTTTCTCAGGAAAACCTTGTCTCTTTGCTGTCTTTTATTCCTATAAATTCTTTTGAGCACCATCCATGTGATTGATTTCTGTTTCCCCAGCCTTGCTCTGCTGGCCTGGTGCATCCCTTCCATCCTTCCTCCAGGTATTTACCTAGGTTGCCTGGGCATCCTCAAGGTCAGCCCATCAGTGCCCGCCTGACCTCCAGCAGTGTCTAGGTCACTGGGTGCCTGGTTAAGTGTGGATTCTTGGCTGCAGGCCCCCCACATCCATGTGCAACCCTGCCAGCTTTCTCGGGTCCTCTCTCCTCCACTCAAACACCTCTGTCTCTCAGGCCACGTCTCAGCTAGTGGAAATGGATCACACAGTTTCACACATCCTTCGCTTCTGACATCAGTGGGGTCTGTGTGTAACAAAGGGTGGGTGTGGCATTGGCAGATCTGTTTGTGCCCCTGTGCTGGTGCTGTGATTATACCATTTATTAACTAACATACAGGTAAGCAAGGAGTGAGAGGAGAGGATGGTTCTGTGAAAATGAAGGTGAATCCTTCGGGAGGGTGAATGCTTAAAAGGACAGGAAGTTTAACCTCTGCTTAGGCACAGCAGCAATCAGAGGTACAGAGGTCCTAACAGTTCGGAGGGATCCTCCACTTCCTGCTTCATAACTGTTGGGGTTCTTTTGTTTGAGACAGGGTCTTACTATGTAAATCCGGCTGACCTTGAACTTACTGTGTAGCCCAGGCTGGTCTCAAGCTCATGACGATCCTCCTGTCTCAGCCTCCCAAGTGCTGGCATTACAGGTGTGTGCCCCTGCACCCTGTGGGATTCTCCTTTAGGCACACTGGCGATTGTGGCTGATGGGCTATAGGTGTTTTGTGCAATAATGGCATTGAACACTAACCAGCAGATGAAATCGTCTTGACCCTACTTGTGGCTTTCAAAATTTCATTTATTACATGGTGGCACACACCTAATAATCCCAGCACTCAGAAAGCTGAGGCAGGAGTATTGCCCTGAGTTCAAGAACAGCCTGAATTACACAGTGAGACTTATCTCCAAAAAAGATTCATTTATTTAAAGAAAAAAGCCAGAGATGGTGGCACGCACTTGTGATCCCAGCTGAGACAGGAGGATTGCCATGAGTTCAAGATCAGCCTGAGCTACATAGTGAGACCCTGTCTCAAAAATCCAAAAATAAGAATAATAATTGTTGTTGTTGTTATTATTATTACTATTACTATGCATGCCAATGATGGTAGGCTTGGACTTTGGTGGCAGAGGAGTAACAAGTCATAATAAACATATCTTTGTTACTTGAGTTGTCAGTTGTAGATGCTGTGCATGGATTCTGTCACTGACGGTGAGGACACCAGTGTTCTCCCCTATCTCCTGCCTTCCCCCGTCTCTGTCCAATTCCTGCAGCAGTGATCTTCTGCATGGGTGAGGTGAGGCAAGAAGCCCTCACTTTCCCCCCTCTAAGTGTCGAGCCTCACTGCCATCTTTCCAGTCACCCTTCCGGTGTCCTTTTGTAGATTCCTTGCCTTAGCTCCCTGTTTTTGACAGTTTTTCCATGTCCTTGGGTCTGGAATTTGAGTTGTGTTCTATTTTTGCTGAAAATGGAGTTTGTATTTTATTTCTCCTTGCATTTATAACATATTTGGATGGCTTTTGAAAACACTGACCTTTTTTTGGAAAGTGAGAAAGACAGTGAAAGACCTCTGAGGAGCTGCAGTTCCCAAAGGTCCCCAAACTGTGAAGCCCTGAGATCTGAAGAGGGGGGCACGCAAGAGCACAGGGGCAGGACTGTGAGCGCACACACCCTGCTGGCAGTGGTGGAGGCAGGTGGTCACCGAGCCCCACCCACCTCCGACCTCTGAACCAGCTTTCCGGGGTCCCTGGAGATAACGCCCCTGGACCAGCGTGCTGAGAGAGAAGTGAGGCCCAGGTTAGCCCCGAGTCTCCAGAGCTGAGGAATAGGGCCAAAAAAAGACACGCCGCGACACGCCGCGTTGAACCCTGGATCCAGCACTCAGTCCTGCTCCTGAGATCTTGGACCCCGAGAGAGTCTTACCAGCTTTTACTCCTACACAAAACAAAGGTTACAGAATTAAGTACACAAAGTACTTGGCACATGGAAAATACTCAGCAAGTATTACCTTCCACCCAATTGGTTGGTTACACCAAAGGAATAAGCACTAATAGCCAGGTCTATTTCTTTCTCTTTTAAATCCCCGTAGAACAGTCTTAGCGTAGTGTGCTGTCTCCACTGTTCCTACCTTAACAGTGCCGCAGCCCTGGGTGCATTCCCACTGCTGTGTAGCCAGCACCATCATGCACCATCAGTTTCATGTTAGAAAACAACCTGCTCACATCTCCCTCCCCAGCCCCTGGACACCAGCATTCTACCTTCTGTCCATATCAGTTTGCCTGCTGTGTGCTTCATATGAGAGTGATCTTTAACTTTTTTTTTATAGTACCAGGAATTTGAACTCAGGACCTTGCGCTTGCCAGGCAGGTGCTTATACTGCTGAGCGATATCCCCAGGTAGAAGAGGGATCCTACCGTAATTGTCACTGTGTATGACTTGCAGCCTAGTGGTCTCACGGTTCATCTGTGTCCTAGCAAGTACCAGAATTTCCTTGTTCTTCAGTCTGAGGACTGTTCCGTATGTGTGCATGCTGCTTTGTTTACCCAGTCATCCAGCAGTGGGCCCTGAGTCCCTCCCACGGTTTTGCTCTTGAGGGCTCGCTGTGCTGGTAGCTCCCCAGCACCCTGTGTCCCTTCTGCTGGATGTGTCCTCAGAAGGGGACTTCCTGATCACTACGATGATTCCCTTTGTAATTTCCTTAGGAGCTGCACACAATTTGTGCCCCTAAAGAACTGCATCTTGATGGAAAAGTGGAAGCTATGAAGTCCCCTGGGGAGTAGTTTTAAAACCAGTTTTGTGTGAAAGTTTAAATTATGTAAATATGAAACTCTCGACATCAAATTTCCATTTGCACATAGGTGAATAATGGAAAGTGTATAAAATGTAGGACTCCTCATGAGGGTAAACGGAAAGTGGTTACTAAGGCTCAGCCTGGGCATGTGTGAGGGGTACACCTGCCTTAACACTGCCCCCAAGATCAAAGGGGACACCCTGGTCACAGGTAGCAGCTTTTTCCTTCCACTTACTGTGGACAAAATAGGAAGTACCAGTGACCAGTGTAGGGGCACACCTGTACTCCCGGCACTCAGGAGATGGAGGCAGGAGGATCGCCACAAGTTCACAGCCTGGTCCATGTGCCAGAAAACCTCATGGTCAAATGCACACATGCACAGCATCTTCACTGACGGCAGAGGAAACGGAAGCTGCGCTCTGTCCATTCCAGTGGTTCTTAGCTGCAGTGCGTTTGTTCCCAGGAGATGTTTGGCATTATCTGGGCATCGTGGTTTGTCATCGGCGAGAGGTGCTGCTGGCATCTTGTGCATGGAGAGCAGAAGCATGCTACAGTGCATAGGACAGCCCACCGGGTATTTGGCTCATGTTGCCACTGCCCTGCTGGGAAGCGTGAAGCCTGTCCTTAGCTCCCTCTCATGTAAAGCTGCCATCCCAGCCAGACCAGGAGCCCCAACTTGCCTGCATCAGGAGGCACCCGAATCTACCCGAATCCTTCTCCCCACTTTTGTGAGGTTGGAGCCCAGCTGCAAGTGTCACACAGTCCTGTAAGGTGCCCTGCCTTCTCCAGCCATCCTGTGACCTCCACGGGACAAGCCCAATAATCGGGCACTTAGCTGGCCACGGAAAGTGGAACTTGCTCTCTTCCCAGTTTGACTAAAGTGCCGGAGAGCCCATGTTGATAGATTTGACTTGAAATATGAGGGCCAACGTAATGCCAGCCAGTACTGATGATGGTGAAATTAGCGATGAAAACCATCACAACCTGCGTGGGACCCAGCATGGGCAGAGCCAGCCAAGTTGCTTTCCACACTAGTTCTCCCAGCCAGCTCCCACGGCAGTCCTGGGGAGGCAGAAACAGCAACAAGAGCATTTCTCCACAGTACCCTGTAGACAGATGGCAGAGCTCCAAGTTCTCACTGAACCTGAGTGCAGCCAGGTACCTCTGTTGGTGCTGGCAGAAGACATTCTGGCTGTGATACTTGGGGGACAGGAAGGACCCCTCATCACTTCACTGGAGAGGTGGCTATGCCAGGGCCTTCAGGGCCTAAATTGTAAATCAAAGCCCACTGTCACATCTGACCACTCTGCATCTGCAGGAGAGGAGGCCAAGCAGGCCTGACCCTGGCCCCTGCAGCTGTGCTGCCCGCCGTCTGTCTACTTCCCTGCAGGTCCACTACATCCTCCAGGAGGTGGTGATGGGCGGGATGGTGCTAGAAACCAATATGAATGAGATCGTGGCCCAGATGGATGCTCAGAGCCGGCTGGAGAAGTCGGAGGTGAGTTTGGGGCCATCTGCTTGGTCTGCTGGGCAGATGCCCAGGGCAGGCGGGGATTGCGGCACCTTTGGAGGTGGTGTCCGCTCACCTTCTTTCTTCCTAGAGTCCATCAGAGCTGGATGATTTGCAGAGGGTATACAGCTCTGGCTTGGGAAGCTTTGGCTGGTGTTCGTGGTTTCTGATTCCTCCTCTAAAGGCGGCACACTCCCTAGAGGGACCTGGAGTCCCCTTCCCCTCTCCGCAGTGGTTTTCAAGTTTGTCTACTGTGTGAATCTGCTGTCCCAAGCAGCCATTTCCTGGTTGGCAGTTTCCTTACTTCTGGTTAGGCTTGTAAAAAGCTGGCATAGTCGCATCAGGCCAGGCTTACACAGACCGAGCACCGCCCACCCTCTCGTGGTGCTGGGCTGATACAGAAGCTCTCGGGAAAGTTGGTCCCAAAGATCTTTCAGTCCCTCAGCTATACCGAGGACAGTGGTGACAGGTATGTGCCTCCACAAGTGCAGAAGGAGTAGAACAAATTACCTCCTGACTGTCTGAGTGGCGTAAGTTTCTTTGCTCTGGGACTCCTCTTTCTGTGAGGACTGGCAGGCTGCTGAGGAAGCTTTTCTAGACCGCAGCTCTTGGGCAGCTCGAGTTCCTTCAGAAAGGCGGGCTGGGGAGCTCCCTGAGGTTAGGAGTGAGTCAGAGCTGTGGGTTTGGAAGCAGGGGAAGCAGATCTGCTGGATGAGAGTGGGACAGAGTCAGGGTCCTGAAAGCAGTCAGTCAGGAAAAAATGATTTTGAAGAGTCTTTTTGAAGAGTCTGTCCACTCCCGCCCTTTGTGCGCTCTGGGAGTGAACGCGGGGCAGGACATGGGCCTCTGTGTCCACCATGTGACATTTCCAAAGCCAGCCTTTTCCATCCTGTGTTAATTGGCAAACAGTTGCCCTAAAGCTGTGATGTTCCTTTTCCTTTTCAGAATTTCCCCGTGACGTTGCACTTGTCTGCAAGATAGTCTCTTGAGGAAAGGGTTTGGTTTTGCTTGGTTTCATAACCAGAAAAGTACCCTTGATCCCTCTTCTGACTCGGATAAACCATCTCAGGTTATTCCAACCAGCACGTACTGGGCCCTTCCATGGGCCACACACCGTCAGTTGCTGGGACTCTGAAGCTGTGACATATGACGCAAGCCCGCCTTTGAGGAGCTTGTAGTCTGACCGGAGTGCGGGCTATGGACCACATGCTGAACCCCACTGTCCTAGACGTTGTTTTGTTGGCTACCTTTGAGGAGCAAGGAGGAAAAATTAAAAGTCATGTGTGTCTGTTTGGAATTGTTCTCGGTCTCCTCCATCTTTGTGTGTTTTGTTTGTGAAGCACCAGCAGCAGGCTCGGAGAGTGTGTCCCCCACTCACCTCTCCTCTCTCCTCAGGGTGGCCTTTCTGCAGCCCCTGCGCGCGCTGTGTCTGCAGTAAAAAACATCAACCTGCCTGAGATCCCGCGGAACATCAACATTGGCGACCTGAACATCAAAGTGCCCAACCTGTCTCAGTTTGTCTGAAGGCGAGGCTCGGGCCAAACTGGAATCTCTTAGAACAAGCAAAGCCAGGCAAGCCGGAAGCAGAACCTGCTGGCGCCTTAGAAGTGTCAGGCTGTGGCCCGGTTCCTGTGTGTGGGAGGAGTGGACCAGGCTTCCGTGCACCCCAGCCCTCTGCCAGCCGGGATCTGTGCCATGCCACCTGCACCTTTGCTCTCATGCTCATGCTCTCTCGCAGGCTGTCTCTGTCTGTCTGCTTCCCTCATGGATTGACATCGTTCTCTGACTCCTCCTCCTCAGCGTCAGAGCTCCTGAGGTCCAGGAGGAGGAGCCAGCCCTTCTGTGTGTGTAATGGAGTGGGATTCATGAGGCCTGCAACCACCTGCTGGCTCTGCTGGGGCCCTTTTACCTAGAATCCTTTTGTATATGCAAGCTCTCTGGTTGCCACCTCTCGCAGAGGACATCTTCCCCTTCCCTGTAGTCCTGGCTCAGTCCTCCCAGGTGTCTGTGTGCAGGAGGAATCCATAGCATAAGCCCGGTGCACAGTGCCACATTCCTCACCGTGCCACAGAGGTCCTCCTGGGGAGAAAGGGACCCTGTGTCTGTAGGGTTTAAAATATATTCCCCTCAGGAAGCAGAGGCTCAGTTGCTGTGTCGTGAATGAGGAGTCTCCCCACACCAGGAGGGAATGCAGTGCCGCCAGTCTCGGATTTGGAGCACGAAAGCCTGAGCAGGGGCCACCATGCAGCTCCTGGACCTGCAGGACACCAGCTGCGCCCTCCCTGGGCTGGGCTCTGAGTACATCCAGTTCCTTCAGGGACTGAGCAGGCTCTGGAGACCCGGAAATGTTTAGATGGGATGAGACGACTTCTTCCTGTGGCTAACGTGGAGCTGGGACTGCCACCACACTCAGGCCTCTTGCTGCACACGGTCTGGTAGGCCAGGTCTCAGGGACAGGCTCGCGCTGCCTCGCACACTGGCTCCTCAGGCCTCCTGATGAGTGGCAGGGCAGGTGCCATGTGCAGGGTCCACAGAGCTGGCAGTTTTGAGCAGTGCTTCCTGTGGTTTGGGTCTGTTGCTCTCCGCAGCTTCTCGTTGTTGCTCTTCTAGGTGACCAGTTTCTTGGCAGGTGACAGTAGGCAGCCTCATGTGGGAGGAAGGGGGGGAGGTAAATGATTTCCTCATTTGAAGGAGTTGAGTTTTGGGGTTTTTTGTGACAGGATCTTGCTATGTAGTGCAGGCTGGCCTTGAACTCACAGCAACCCTTTTGCCTCAGCCCCCGAGTACTGCGATCACAGGTGTGTGCACCACTTTTTTGAGGGGTAGACATTTTAGCCCATTGAAGTAGTAATAAAACTAATAGGAAAAAAAAGTAGTGTTTACTTTGCATCTTCTGTGAGATCCTCTGATGCCGTAAGGCAGACATTCTTAGCCCCTATTGCAGAGTAAACTCTGAAGAGTAGTTCAGAAGCAGTGCAACCTGCTCTTGCTGCTCACAAAGCTGAGATTTCCCTGTATGTTTAAGATGTCTCCTCTCAATTTTATCTCCTTTTTTATAGTTAAGGAGACAGGCTCAAAGAGATCTAATAGCTTCTCAAAAACGGATGAAAACAGGCCTGGTTTCCTAAGGTAGCTGGTAAGCACACCTAGATTAAGAGGTGAAGGGTCCCCACGTACCTCCACCTAACTACTAAGGCCCAGAGTGCTACCTTTTATTTGAGGGTCACAGAGTGAGGCCCGAGTCACTGTTCCTGTCATGGCTGCATGTATGCTGCTGCACAGTTGTGACTGGGTTTCCTGAGAGTTTTGGTGCGTGGCTGAGAGCCCGTGCTCTCCAAAACCATTAACTGGCCCCATCGATGTGAAAGTGAACATCCAGACAGCACCCCTCACACTGTCCCTGCAGGTAGCAGAAAGCTTCATACTGGCTTTTCATTTGGAGAACTCAGGCCCTCTGGACAAGCCACAGTATTCATTCATTACCTGCTTGAAATTTCCTGCAAATCCAGCCAGGCTTTTTAGCTGCTGTGCCCATCAGCATCTTTCTTTTTCTCCTTTTTTGGAGAAGGGAAACAGTGTTTGCTGCTGAGCAGTGTCAGTGGTGAGCGTAGGGGTTGGGTTTGGGTTTCCTGTGGTTGGCCCTGGGCTTCCCAGGTGGTGTAGGACACTGGGTGTTCAGCAAGCACCGCCGCTACCCAGCATCTGTCCTGTCACACCGTTTCTAGGTGCCTGGTAAGGCCAGGCTCAAAGGGCGCTGCTTCCTCCCATTGTCATGAGCATCTGAGAGGCTCTGCATATTGGGACAGGGTTGCCTGACCAGCAGCCAGTCAGCAAGTGGCTGAGACATACGGAGAATCTAAAGGATAGACCCACTTCCCACCCTACGTGGCTCCACCGTGCACCTCCTACAGCCTGGCTATGGTGTGGATCTGAGTCCTCCTTACGTCCCCCCTCTGCCACACGCACAGCCAACCCTCCTTGGCCTCTACTTCCACCTCCACCACCCCAGATCCAGCTTAGTGATGCTGTATATGACCCCAGTTTCACCAGAAGAGGAGCCAGGGGGACACAACAGGACCAGGTTACTGGCTAAACCAGTGGCCCAGACTTTGGTAGAGGGCAGCCTTAGTAAGTCCACCTGGGCATGGCTTCCCAGTAAATGCACCACTAAGCCAGGAAGTGTGAGAAGCCCAGAGGGCTCTGTCATCCACTGATGAGCACATGGCCATCTCAAGCTTAAGGCTTCTGCCCTCCTGGGAGCCCTGAAGGACTGTATGTGGGACGGGTGGACCTAGTGTACAAGTGGGCTGGTGACAATGGCCTTTGGGCAGGTATTTCCAGGCAAATAATGATTCCTTTCCAAAAGACTTGAAATTCTTTCCTATTTCAGTTTTTCCTTTCAAAAAAAAGGGAGAAGAGATGCTGTTGAGGTTCACATTGTAAGAAAACACCAGACTGTGCTGCAGGATTCCCAGCCTGGTAGCCACAAGGGTTTCCAACGTCAAGAACTAAAAACCTAAGCCCCTGAGTCTTTGTTATCAGAACTGAGAGCACAGTGTCCTGGGAGCGAGTCACATTCCAGCTAGCTGTGGCAGCTAACCTCAGCCCAAGAGCCAGCCATCCTTTCCAGGGAGCAGGGGCCCGCCCAGCACCCCAGTGTTGGCACTGCCTGGCCTGGCCTGGCCTGCCCATGTGTTTGGGTTGTTGAGTTGTGGCCTAGTGCCCGCTTGCAGGATGTGAGCCCGCGGAGGACTCATCTCATCCGGTGCTACATACCCGCTCCCACCGACAGTTCTTGCCTGTTCCGCTGCATAAGGCTTAGCATGTGAAGACCAAGGCAGAGGTAGCACGTTCTCAGTCTCTCTTAGCCTATGCTTTCCGGCCCTGCACTCAGCACCTTGGGAACAAGGATAATGGCCTTGGGAGCAGGAGGTGGGGAGGCCCACTGGTGGCTGTGGAGAATAGGAGAGGAGGGAGGCAGAGTGAACTAGGGTCAAAGGTGACAAAGTGCTCCCAAGTAGGAGCACAGCCCAGAGAGGAGGGATCCAGTTTGGATGTGAATGTGTTAGCCTCGGTTCCCTAAATACCTGGGGGGAAATGCCTGTCCATCCCAGACGCTGGGGCATGGTAGTGAGTGCTACAGTCAGGGACCAGAGAGTCCCTGGCCTGTGGGCAGGGGAGAGAGAAACGTGCAGTCACGTATGGGGGCAGGAAGAGATGACCCTTAGCAGGTTTGCAGCTGCTCCACCAAAACCCTAGGCAAGTAGTGCGGTCCAGTGGTGGCAGGGTCTGCCGTGGAGACACTGGGCAGGAGTGTGGCGGGCCACCAGCCAGGTGCGCACACAGCCAGAGGCCGCCAGGGATGAGCCCCAGCTGCTGCAGTGCCAGGCGCTCCGCAGAGGGAGTGCGAACTGAGGAAGCAGATGACTGTCCCCTGCGGTCCCAGGAAGTGGTGAGAAGGCACATCTGTGGCTCAAGAGAAATGAGGGCAACCAAGGAACAGTGGTGATACTGGTCCCTGCTCTGGTCCCCTCAGTGGCATGCCAGGGCCAGGGGCACTGTGTGGAGCTCTAGGGGAGGTGGCACAGGCCTGCGGAAGTGAAACTTCCTGTCCAGTAAAGAGGGCTCCTGGTCAGAAGAACAAGGCTATGACTGGTGAAACCACAAGTGCGGGGCGGGGGAGGGCCTTGGAACTTCTTTTCCTCCTAGTGGAAGGACCCATGTGATGAGCTGTGACCAAGCAGCCCCGGCTGAGGGGATCCCGTAGGGACTCCAAGCACACCTTCCAGTGCCGCTCAGGGCCATCTCCCCACACCCCAGCTTCCCAGGCCTGGGCCGAGGCAGGCCATTGCCCTCTGCAAGCCTGTGAGCTGGTGGTACAGCTAGGTGATGGGAGAGAACCCAGGGACTATTTTCAGAGATGTGCCCAGCATCTCCCAAACCAAGCTGAGGTTCACAGTACAGACCCTTCCTGAGTTAGGATGAGGTTATGTCCCAATAAAGCCATTCTAACTTGAAAAAGCAGAGGAATACAGAACACCCCGGTGCTCAGCAGAGGCATGCTGTTTTCCCCGCACTGTTAGCTCAGCGATTGCCCCGAGCCGCTCGCCACCACAGCCTGACAGAGGATCTTTCTGCAGGTCAGCGGCTCGGGGAAGCACAGTAGGAGTACAGTTCCTGCTGCACCATGGTAAAACAGAAAGATCACACGCCTGGGCTGTCTGTTTCCCGAACTGCACCAACCAGGCTCTGACCAGTCAGGGCGGAGGGACCAGGCTTGGGGTTCTGGACTCAGTGTGCCGCCTCCTCCTCAAGCACGGTGCAAGAGGGGACAGCAGCCTTCCCATACCTTCTCCGGCCCTTTGATGCCGGTGGCAAACTGGTGCCAAGAGAGAGCCACAAGCCTAGCACTCTTCTACTGCCCCTCAACAGCCGGAGAAGAAGATGCCCTCCTGGTGCCTCTCAGGTGCAGGACACCAGGCACCTGCCAGGCTTCCCTTGGTGCCTCCCCAGCCCCAAGCAGCAGCATGCGGGCCTGGGAAGAGCCTTATTCCTGTTAGAGAAGCACTCTACACCAGAGTCAGCTAGGATCTGCACTGCCAAGCAATACCAGCTTTTCTAGACCTTGTTCCGAAGGGCTGGGCAGTATCGCTAGACACTCTTGCAGGCCACCACTGCCTGCACTGTCACCCACAGGAAGCAGCTCCCACCCTGTCCTGGAATCACCAGTGGAGGGCGAGAGTTTCCTGCCAAGATCCCCTCCTAGGTGCTTCTGCCCTTTCCCATGCCTGGGCCCTAGGGCTGCCACCCAGCCCAGTGGTTGTTTAAGGTACATAGTGACAAGGGAATCCCAGGGCTCCAAACTCTGCCTGGCACCCCAGCCCGAGTCTGGCACAGGGAGCACCTGCAACGGGACATTCCTGCCAGCCCTGCCCCGAGCCCCTGAGCCCCCAAACCCTAGACCACCACCCGTTCTTGTTATGTCACCTCAGAGAAGCCACAGGCTCCAGGCCAGGCACTGTCTTTGGGTCATATAGTTCCCCAGACTTGTGGGTCCTCCTGGGTGGCCCTTGCTTGTCCCTGATCAGTGCCGAGGTGGCCTAGTTCCCATCTTCTCATCCCATTTTAAGCCTAAGCCTGGGTTCTGTCCCATCTCACCACCCTACAGCAGTTAAAGCCTTTGGAGAAGCCTCAGAATGAGGGCTGCTGGCCCAGTGAGGAGCCCCTTTTTGGCCCAGACCAAACCAGGATGGAACTGTGTGGATGGTGAGCGATAGGTGTGGAGGACATTCTAAGATTGGCAGGATTGCAGGGCTGTTGCTGGGCATGGAGTATGACCCAGAGAAGACAGGCGGGAGAGATAGAGGTGACCTGCATAACAGAGGCCTGGTCTGAGCCAAGGGCCATGGTGATACAGGGGACAGAAATTCCTGACCTGCTAGATGTCCAAATTGCCAAGTTCCTGTTCTCTAAAATCAAAGAATAAATTTGAGGAATAGGGGAAATTAGGAAGAATTCATTGAAAGAAAAAAAACTTCTGCCCAAGAGAAACAGAGGGGACCGGAAAGTGGGTTGGCCATTGCCACCACTTCTCAAGGGTGTTTACTGAGCAAAGTTACAAGATGAGGAGGGTTTAAGGTGGGACAAAACTGTAGTCACCTAACAGGATTACAAGTACAGTCACTCAGGTAATACTGATCCGATGAGAAGCCATAAGGTGAGTGTGAGAGGGACAAAGCTGTGGAGAACCTGTAAGATCACAATATGGCCGGGGCTTAGCTCAGGGGCACAAGTGCCTGCCTGGCAAGCTCGAGGTCATGAGTTGGATCCCCAGTACCACCCCTCCAAAAAAAAGTACAGTGGCTGAGATAATACTGATTAAGTGCGAATCAAATTGTGCAACAAGTCGTGTAGCAAGCACACCTGTGGGGCGGACAAGGACTTTTCTTAAGGAAAGGGTAAAGAGCTTCGGTACCCACCCCAGCGTGATTGGCACCTTCCAGAGTATCAACCACAGCTGCTCACCCCTCAGGGAAGCGTGTGGATCCTCTTTCCCTGAGCCTGGCCTTCAGTGAATTCCCCTCCAGTCACAGTTGTTTTCTGCACTGAACTTTCCAGGGCCTCAGCCCTGACTGCCTATATTATTTTTAAATAACTTAGCTGGGAGGAGCTGAGTATAGAGAGCAGAAAGGGAGGTCAGCGTGGCTGTGTGTGTCTGTGCAGGGGGACAGTCAGGGTGGGTAGGAGGGCAGGTGCACATGCCGGAGGGGCCAGGGAAGCCAAAGAACTCAGCCAGGCATCGTGGCGCATGCCTGTAACCCCAGCACTCAGGAGACTGAGGTAGGAGGATCAGTGAGAGTTGAAGACCAGTTTGTACTCCATAGTGAGTTCAAGTCCAGCCTGAGCTACATAGCGAGCCTGTCTCAAAACCAAACCAAAAAATGGACTGAGACCAGGGTTGGAGAGGCTCAGCTTAGGAGAAAGCATTCAGGGGCTGTGGACTGGAGTCTCTAGGCACTGGGAAACGAAGGTTAATAGGTGGGGCTGTTGGGAAGAAGGTACCCCAGGGAAGAGATCCTCATTACCTCCAGTGCATTTAACTGATCCCTGAGTTCCTGTTATAGTCATGAACCAGGTGCCCGTGGGGAACTCCAACCTGGGAGCAGGGGTGGCTGGGCTGGATGGCAGCCAGAGCAGGGCTGGCTGGCACCAGGGACAGCAGGATGGGACAGTGTGTGCAGGCCCCTCCCACTGTCTCCAGCCTGCATGCAATGACATTGTAGCCCCTGTTGGGAGAATTACACTCCCTGCACCTCGGTCACCAGGCACTGCCTGTGACTTGCTTTGTAGTTATACACAGAGATGACACATTTCGAGGTTCGAATCAGGCAGGATGAATGCTTTACACCATTGGGGGTAAATCTGTGGCCTGCATGTTGTTCTTCTTTTAAAACAAAAGAGGTTAATATATTGCAGCAATGTTACAGGCAGCTGAGTTAGTTAGAAATATCATAGGCTGGGCTGGGCCCTCCAAGGAGCCAGTGCAGAAGACCAGATACCTAGTAACCTAGGAGAACACCTCCCACTGTGGGCCAGATCTCAAGACAAAAGACAAACAAATGCAACCACACCCTAAGCGTGGACATCAGGACTCACATTCTAAATAGGTAAGGGTCACCATGTGGAAGCCCAGTGTCATCCCAACCCCCTACTGAAAGAGTCACTGCTCGTTAGCTGGCCTGCATGCTGCGTGACTTGGTTCCCTGCTCCTGATTCCGTCAGTTTTACCTGAACTGTTAATCTTATTGGTTGACCTTAGTTCTGTCCCACCTCAGGCCCACCCTCTTTGAGTTCCTGTTTCCCCCCACTTTGGAACCATCTTGCCTCCAGGTTTTTGCTTTATGAAAGTCCCTAGAAAAGCCGGAGGTGGTGGCTCACACCTGTAATCCCAGCACTCGGGATCTTTGGCGAGTTTGAGACCAGCCTGGGCTACAAAGTGAGCTCAAGGCCAGCCTGAACTGCATAGTGAGACCTCTATCAGCAGGATGTAAAGAGCAGCCTCCTGGAACTCCTTGCTTGTCCCTGTTGCCTCTTATTCTGGTGCAGATGAGATTGGCAACTATGTCCTGTGAACAGGGTTTGTCCTCATGTTCTCACTGGACTCTCAAGGCTCCGTCTCCTTTCAAGGCTAATCTATTACTTGATTTGTCTTGCTTCTCTGCCCCTCCCCCACTCCTCCTCAGCCGAATGTTAAAATAGAACCTCCCAGAAAGAATGGCCACTATCAAGAAATCAATCAGTAACAAATACTGGAGGGGCTGTGGGGAAAAAGGAACCCTTCTCCACTGTTGGTAGGAGTGCAGATTGGTGCCACCACTGTGGAAATCAGTGTGGAGATTTCTCAAAAAAGTAGGACTAGAGGTCCCATTCAATCCAGCTACTCCCCTTCTTGGGAACTAAGACATCATACCACAGTGATATGTGTGCACCCACTTTATAGCAGCATAGTTTATAATAGCCAGGTCTTGGAAACAACCTAAATGCCCATCGACTGAGGGATGGATAAAAAAAGATGTGATATTTTTATGCAATGGAGTACTACTCAGCCACAAAGAACGACAAACTGGATGCTTTTAGGTAAATGGATGCACCTTGAGAACCTACGGAAAAGTTCTTCCCCTAGTATAAATTAAAATTAGTACAGTTATGGTGGTGGTCTAAAGGCGGAAGGCCAAAGCAAAAACGCTTACCATTTCCTCCTTCTTCTTCAGCCCTAATTGCAACTCCCTTTTTTGTTTGGATGCAAAGAAAATTCCAATCAGTTCCTCACACATCATCAATGCCTGCCCCAGAGGCCACTTCCGGTCAGAGGTCATATATGTGCTCCTTTCCATGTCCTCAATAAACCTGTTCTTATCTTTTTTGTACTTTTCGTTTTTCTGTTGTGCCAAAAACTTTAACACATACTCATTAATGAAATAAATAAGACACACATGTGTAAACATCATATTGTTTCATTAGTGTGACAAGCAAAGAAAAAACGTGTATGTGTATGTACATGTTTATAAAAAGTTAGTTAAGATACACTGATTTCTCTGAGTTCACTGAAGGGAAAGATCTGTGCTGGTACTGTTCAGACTCATGCTGATGTCCTGTGCTCTGGGTGAGTGATTTAGGGAAGACAGTGCTCAATATATGTACCATTCTTGGCCCCTGATTGATGTTTTTGGAATTTTGTTATAGTTCTTCTCATCTTCTTCTTTTTTTTTTTTCTATTGATCTTTTAATAAAATGGATTTGGAAAAAAACAACAACCCTCCCCCCTAAAACCTAGAACCTTTCCTTTGTTCTAATGCCCAGCGCTTTGCACATGAATTTGGCTGAGTCAATGTGCATGTGAAATCCTGGAAATAAATCCTCCTTTTTCCCCACTGGTCTCTCTGATTTCTTGGATTCTGCAACAGTCTGATTATTTTTGCCTGTTTTTTTCTTTCTTTTTAAAGATTAACTAATTAATTTTTGTCTTTTTGAGGCAGGGTCTCAGTTCAGGCTGGCCTTGAACTCGCAGTGATCTTCCTGAGTCGTGGGATCACAGGTGTGTGTCACCACACCCTGAACCTCACGGGAATTCCAGGACAGCCTAGGTTACTGGTGTAGCAAGATTGGGTCTCTAAAAACAAAACAAATCATTGTACATACACACATAAATGGCCTATTCAGCAGCTGGCAGTGAGGCTGAAGCACTGCTGAGGTCATGAGGGCCACCTGGGTGGCAGGAGGGGACAGTGATGCAGCAAGGCCTCCCCGAAGGCAGGGTTCAGGGCGTGGGCTGGAGAGTGCAGGATCCAGCATGTCCAGTGCTGACTAGACAGGGCTCGGAGAGGCCAAAGGCCCTGGTGCCACCAGCTGAGGGTGGGGCTTGGGACTGGCGCTCTCGGGCAAGAGAGTGAGCTTGGATGTGTGCATGGGGAACCTCAGATGCCTGCCCCATGTCTGCTAGGTGTGGGACAGGCAGGATGTGCCAGGCAATGGGCAGAGATGGGGTGCTGTCAGAACAGAGGAGCCCACGGGAGGGCACCGGGCACCCAGGTCCAGTCCAGTCACACTCCGGTGCCCCACAGGGTGGCCCAGTAGGGTGAAGCCTCCAGGAATGAACTAGGTGATTTTCTTTCCAGTGCTGGAGGCAGGGGAGGCTAGGCTGGGGTGGGGCTGGGCTGTGCATCCTGTGAGCCGTGTCGCTGTGGATGTGACACAGGCTTGCTGAGGGGCTAAGAAAGTTCAGGACTCTGCTGGGGGTGGTGAGTTGAATGGTGGCCCAAAAGACACGTCCACTTCCTCTGAGACAAAGTCTCACTCAGTAGCCCAGGCTGGCCTCAAACTCATGGTCCTCCTTCCTCAGCCTCACAAGTACTGAGATCACAGGTGTGTACAACCACACCCGTCACCATCATCATCACCATCATCCTCATCACCGTCCTCCTCCTCCTCATCAGCCTGGTGATTGCCTGATCTTCATTTTATTTGGAAAAGTGTCATTGGTGTAATTAAGTTAATTGTCTGCAGATACAATCAGCTGGAAATATCTGGGCAAGCCCTAAATGCAGTGACAGGTGTCCTTACAGAGAGAGAACTCTGTGAAGACAGAGGCAGTGACAGGACACAGAATGCTGGAGTCATTTTCCTGAGAAAATCCCCCTGGAGCCCAAGGGAGCCCCCACTGTTGACCCTGGGATTTGGAATTTCTGGCCCGGCAATGGCGGGAGGATAAACCTCTAGTTTGGGGAGATGGTTCCTGAAGAGTCGGGACTAGCACACAGGCTGAGAGTGGTGTCTTCCAGGCTGTTCCACCCTGCTCAGGGGAGCCAGGAGCTGGCCTGCCAGGGGATGGGAAGGGCCTGGCACAGTCTCGGCCATCTCAGGACACAGCGGGTTCCTGGAGGGGCTGCAGGCTGTAGCTCCCAGAGCTGTTACCCCAGGGAGAAAAATGTTTGGAGGGTCCCAAGCCAGTGCCAGCCCTTTCTGAGACATCCCATGTCCCAGAGGTGGCCAGTGTGACATTTCCACAGAGGCTGGACCACTTGGGCATATCCTTGCCCACTTGAAAGTGGGTTGGTGATCCCACTTTGAACTCCCATTCTGGAGCCAGAAACTTCTGCTCCAACAACCCCCATATAATAAGTCCTTCAGAGCCCGAGTGACCCTCAGAGACGCACAACTGTGGTGTTCCCCTTTGGGTGACGTGACGTCACTCTGCTGCTGGCCCTTGGTGTGGCCTGAGATGCCTGAGGAAGAAATGATCTCATGGCAGCATCCGACCTGCTGGGCAGGGCTCCTTACTCAGGGAAAACAGGAGGGGTCAACATGATGAGGATTTCACCCTGCCACAGCACAGCACCGTCACACTCTGGGCCTCCCCCAGAGGCAAGAAGGGCTGGTTAGGGCTGGGTTCCCTCCCTCCCAGGCATTCAACCAAGTAGCCCAAACCAGGTGTAGGAATGTGGCTGGCTGTGAGATGCCATCCCCCCACTCCCCGTGACCTCAGGTGAGTCACTTGATCCCTCTGGGCTCAGTCCTCTCTCCCTCTGATGGATGAAAACTGTGGAGCGTCACAGCCCCATGAGCCTCAGTGTGGCCTCTGATGGGAGGCCCGAGCAGAGGGCAACATGGGCCACAGACTTTTCCAACGGGGGCCACACCAGGTACATCTGGAGGCCACAGCCAAGCAGTGGGCACATGTGGGCTACGGAGTACCCAGGCCAGTCAGAGGCAAACTCTGCCCTTGAAACCAGATCTGCCGAGCTGTCTTCACCGAGGATTTGACCTCCAACATTTTTTGTTTTTTGGTTCCAGGGATGGAACTCACAGCCTTGTGCTTGTCAGGGAAGCGCCTGCACCACGGAGCCAAATCTCCAGCCCTTGATTTTCAACTTTTCTCACAGTTGAAGGCTGGTGGGGTGGGGACCATAATGCCCAAGGCCTGTCACTGTCAGGCTGACCGGAAGTCACAGCCCTCTGCAGGCTACTGAGCTCCCTGCTGGTTCTCTAGTTGCCCTTGGGGGTCCTGGGGTGCAGAGTGGAAGTCCATATGCCATGCAAGGTAGGCTGCAAGCGGGGTGCAGGAAGCAGCCACGAGGGGTACGGGGCTCAGTGCTGGCATCCTGTCCCTCCTCCTCACCCCGCAGCCTTGGGAACTCTGTCCCTCCTGCTGGGCCCTAAGTCCCTCTGTCCTCCCACAGCCTGCGGCGGCCACAGGCCCTTTTCTACTTCCTGTCTCTCTGAGAAAGTTGGTTTTTTGAGGCTGTTTTGTCTCTATTTTAATTCTTTTTCCAGAAAAATGTGTTTTTAATCAACTTTATAATAAAACCCAAACTGAGTTCTTGAAAACAACAGCAAAGAGAAATGACTTTTTCAGTCAGCTTGGGAAGCGAGCTGCTGACTCTGGGACCTCTTAGCCCTGCAGTGGCTGGGGCTTCTCCTGCTCCCTCCCAGCCAGGTCAGTTCTGGGTTCTGGGTTCTGGGTTCTGGTTGCAGGGACGCTTGCAACTCCTCCTAAATATCCCCACACTGTCCCCTCCTAAGCCCCTGTCCCTCCCGGACTGCCTGCCGAGCCCTTTCCTCTGTGCACAGCCCCTGCCCTCCAGCTGCTCTGCCCACCCCCATCTGGCTGCCTTCCACGATGGTCCCCAGCAGTCCCCAGGGGCACTCTCTAAAAGGCAAATCTGACTCATCAGTGCCTTTTTCTCAAAGTTCTCCTGGGAGTCAACCTCCCACAGGAGTAGAACTTAAATTCCCTTGCCCGGCACTCAAGACACCCAGCCTGGCCTCCCGCTCTGAGTGACCCTAGGCCACTGTCTGACTTCGTCTTTCCTCATGGGATGCTGTTTGGGGAAGGGCTTGTGTGTGAGAAGTGGCCGCCAAAGGCGAAGGTGCAGGACTGAAGAACGCGGCAGATGACCCAGCTTTGCATGGAATGCCGTCAGGGGCTTCCAACAGAAGTGTGTCTTGGACAGTGGCAAATGGATGCTCATACGCTGAGGCAGGAGGAAACTACAAAATGGCGGGCTCTGGCCAACTGGCCAGATGCTTCTGGACTTTGTCAAACACCATTGACATCAGGTAAGAAACACTCGTGGTGTCAGTGTCCGGCACACAAGCTTCAGTGACGGATCTCTGCCATTTTGTTTCTCCTGTAGGTTTGGGATGGGAACCTCCAGAGTCACCAGATGGGCAAGATGGCTGTGGGTAGGTAAATTGGATGCCTGCAGAGACCCTTACCTCCGTCCACTGGCCAATGCAACTCATTCAAGATGCAACCCAGGCCTGGGGATATAGCTTAGCGGCACAGCACTGGCAAGTGCAAGGTCCTGAGTTCAATTCCTGGTACCCCCCTCCAAATAAAAAGGCCTAAATAGGCCCCATCATCGACAGTCCTGGTAGGGAGTCACTGTTCCCACTGACGACAGTTGGAAGGTGTTAAATCTTGTGGACACAGTATAGGTTGTTCCTGTTCTTGGATAGGTATTATCTCACTGTTATCACCCAGGTGGCCCTGGAATCCCTGAGGACAGCTGCCACCTGTATCCTTAGAGCCAGGTGCTGTGCCTGTAGGCAGTGTCATTTTTCAATGCCTGTTGACTGCCTGGCTGACCAGGAGAGTGAGTGGGTCCTGGCTGACCAGGAGAGAGCCGCGCTCCCACTGCTAAGCAGTCCTGGGAGCCCTCTCCATTCTCACTGATTTCCAGGCCTGGGCCAGCGCAGTGCTGGCCCCAAATTGAACTGGTAGCACCAGGCAGGTGCTTGTTTCCAGGACAGAGCGCCAGGGAGAAAGGATGGGATCATAGGTCAGGGGCAGGTGGGGCGGGAAACTGATGCCTGAGGTCCTCTGAACTCCTATGGCCATGTTCCACCAAGGGACTCTGCCCAGGAGGAGGGACAGGGACAGCTCGCTCACTGTGTGCCTATCCCAGCTCTCCCCTGACACACCCTCTTCTCTGGTGCCCCTGCCCTGAGCTCTGCCGAGCTTGGCCTGCGCCATGTGCCCAGAATCCAAGTATCCAAGTGGTACCTGACTGGTGTCATCTCCAGCCCTGGCACCATTCCTCACCCCTTTGCCAGCACTCTCATGGTTGTTGTGTGCACATGCTGGGGATCAACCAAGGCTGGCATCAGATATGTGGTGCACACCTGTAACCCCAAAACTCAGAAAGCTGAGGCAGGAGGATTGCCACAACTTTGAGGCCACCTTGGGCTACATATATAGTGAGTTCAAGATCAACCTAAACTATACAATGAGACCTTGCCTCAAAATAACCACACACATGAAAGACAAGTACTCTACCACTGAGCTATGTCCCCAAGCACTATTTTATTTTTACTTTGGGACAGGGTCTTATTAAATGCCCAGGCTGAAAGTGTATAATAGACATTTTTT